GGAGGGAGGGAGGGAGGGAGGGAGGGAGGGAGGGAGAGAGAGAGAGAGAGAGAGAGAGAGAGAGAGAGAGAGAGAGAGAGAGAGAGAAAACAAGAGACTTTACATGAGCTAGAAACATGGCAATTAAGAATGAGTACAGCCCTTACATAGCCTTCTTGGGCACTTAGGCTGATGTGTACATACCCACACATAAGTCTTTTTAAAACAAAGACGGGAAAAAGAGAGATATAGCCAGGTGTCATGGAGCATGCCTTTGATCCCAGCACTCAGGAGGCAGAAGCAGGTGGATCTCTCTTAGTTTGAGGTTAGTCTGGCTTACAGAGTGAGTTCCAGGACAGCCAGGACTTTGTAGGGAGACCCTGCCTCAAAGGAAAAAACAAAAACAAAACAGAGACAGAGGTGGGAGTGACAGAGGGAGGGAAGGAGGGAGCGAAGGAGGGAAGTAGGAAGCTGCAAATGAATCAGATTCACTCCCTCATTTTACTATACACTATACATGCATTTTCTTACTTGGGCAATATAAGGGGATGAAGGCAAAGTACATGGACCTCTTCACAGGTAATTTCCTGCAAAACACTAAATGCAAGGCAAAGGATCGTGAACACCCAGCACTGCAGAGGTGGGTGTCACATGGAACAGTAAGAAAGCCTTCCTCAGATGCTCTTCTTCCATCACACCCCCAGTCTCCTTGGTACCCTCGTTTTCCTAGAGGGTTGTGATGATAGGAAATGAGTCTCACAAGTATTGTATCTTACAAGGGTAAGGAGAGAAGTGCTGTGTAGTTCAAGCAGTGGGTCTGTCTTTAGTAATCATCTTCTAGCCTCAAGATATCAGCATTTAAAAAACAAAACAGAGACTACACTGAGAGAGAAGACACATCTAGTCACGCCTCCCAACCCAATGCACCATGATAAATGCTAAGAACTTCCTATGCTCTGGACAGACAACCATGCTGGAGACTCTGGATAAGATGCATGTAATCTTTGGGCAACTAAGTTTAAATCTTTTAGATTAAAATTCCTGGGTGGAAGGCAAATGTATCTCTATATTTTAAATACTCAGGTAATCCAGCTATGCAGTTTGGCTCACAAACTGTAGCCATCTATGCATGCATGTAGGTATAGACAGACAGACATAGTATACCCTGAAGACCTTCACACAACCGACTCCATGATGGAAGTGCCATTCAGGCTATAAAACTCAACGCCTGCCAAAATGAAAACAAAGACCCAATCCATCCAAGTTCATACTGTTCTGGAAAAGTCTCAAATAACCTTGCTTTTTAGCTTCTGTAGTTCTGGTTCTGGCTGACTGTTCAACTGAACTATGTCAATGCCTGACATGGACTTTGTGCTTAAAAGTTTACCCTGAGAACCTACCCATACTCATTTAAAAGGCAGAAATATTCAGATATTCTTTTCAGTTCTGCAATAGAAAACATTAAGATACATCTTGGACAAAAGTTATTTCAAAAGTAATTCTATCAGGTTTTATGAAGTTTCAGCTTTTGTGTAGTTAGTCTCCTGTCATGGACAGGGGGAGACAGCGAGACGAGATGGAGCAGGAGAGGAATATGTTTCCTTCGAACGACAGAATGCCAATATAATGGACTTTTAAACAAAATTGCATCAGAAAAAAATTGTTGCCTCAAAATAAGTACACTCTGGGTAAGATGGCAGACTAGAAGCTGCCTCTATGTGACCCGATGAAGGAAAGGAGTTGGAACAGGGGAAAAAAAGAAAACCTCAGAATATTTAAAACCAGAGAGGAAGATTGTTGGAAATTTACAGAGATGGTGATAAGACACCTAAACTGTGCAGAGGAAATGACAGGAGACCCACAGAAAAGAACTGACAAGCCAACACAACTCTAAACACATTGTCCCCAGGAGGGATGAAGGGAAACAGAAGCCTCACTCAGAACCTAAGTCGGGCAGCCCTAGGAAAAGCCCAGTGCCTTCAAATCTCAAACCTAGTTTAGTTGTAGGTTTTGGTGGGACACTGATTCTTCAGTCACACAGACAGCAATAGAGAAGAATCCAAGTCTGTCATTCTGTGACTTGGGGGGCAGTGACCAGGTACGATCTTCAGAGGCAATTTCTCAGTTATAGACAGAGGAGGAAGGAGGTGGCTCAGTTGCAAAGGCACAGCGAAGGGGAACCTTCACAGAAGGAGACGAACAAAGGAGAGCTAGGAAGGATTCTATCACATCCAACAGCACACCAGCAACCCCTCCATACCATCAGGGAAGACAGAAGAGATCAGACAATAATCCAACCAATCAGAAAACACCCACAAATTAATTATCAGGATAGGTGTGATGTTGTACACTTCTAATCCCAGCACTCAGGAGACAGAGGCAGGAAGATCTCTGTGAGTTTGAGACCAGCCTGGTCTACAAGGTGAGCTCTAGGATACCCAGGGGTATAAAGAGAGACCCTAAACTCTACCATATATCAAATAGACTTACAGAGATATTCAGAATATCCTAGGCTCCAAATGCAAAACATACTACATGCAAAATTGCCTATAGTCCACAATGATATCTCTAAAATACTCCACAAGCAAACTACCCCTGCTATAAGTAATTTTTTTAATGCTCTTAATTTTTAGGCTGGGTGTGCTGGCTTGTACGGTGAATTCCAGCACTCAGAAGGCAGAAGCTGGCAGATCTCTGTGAGTTCGAGTGTGCTCTACATAGTGAGTTCCAGGACAGCTAGGACTATATAGTGAGACCCAGTCTAAAAATAAACAAAATTAATTATAAAAAAAGAATCTGCCTGTAAAGCAATAGGAGTATGATTATGAAGTTCAGAAAAGTCCAAATATTTATAATTCTAAAAACTAACTAATTAAGTACTTTATATCCTTATTATTTATTTTGTGAGGTTAGGAAATTATGATTTGCCCCTCAAAAGCTCTTCCTGTATAAATAAATAGATATACAATCAATTATCATAAAAACAGTAAAATTATTAATAGCTACATTATGAAGTAGAACATTCTCAGGAGCAGAGAAGATTCTAACTTCCCATTCTTCTTTGTTTGTAGTGAAATATCCTTAAATAAAATGTTTTAGGCTCTCTTACTCTCTTGCCTCTAGCTTCTCTCTGTCCCCTCGCCCTTCCCCCCTTCCCTTCCCCCTCTCTCCACAAGGTCATGGCCAGCCTCTACTTCTCCTCTTTTCTCTGCCATCTTCCTCTATCTCTCTCCGCCAACCTTTACCCTTTGCCCTAAATAACACCCCTCCCCCTTGGAAAAAAATAAAAATGTTTTAGTTTTATGTAAATGAGGGCAGGGAGTACATTTCCTGAAGAAGGTCATTTAATTATGCAGTTCATAACTGCTGGTGGGATTAGTTTTGCAGAAGCTTAGGAGGCTAGGCTGGGATTGCTCTGCCATGATTGGCCCCACAGAACTTTTCTCTCTGAATCTCTCCCAAGGCATGCTGGTTCTCGGCCCCCTCGAAGACATCTTTAGCCTCTTGTCCTGCTCACAGATCCTCAGGAGATCTTAGCACACCCACCAACTCTCCATTCAGTTCCTTGGATGAATTTGTGCAGGACGTGGTGATGCCCACCTGTAGTCTCAGCACTCGAGAGAGCACTAGTGTGTTTTAGGCTACCCTGAGCTACAGGAGACACTGTATCAGGAAGGAAGGGAGAGAGAGAGAAGGGAGGGAGAGAGAGAGATGATGAGAAGGAGGAACACTTTGGCTTACCTCTTCGCTTATATCCCAAAACACTTCCAATTGTCACAAGGGCTGCATAACCAAAACCAATCAGGTCCATTGGTAAGGACACAAGTCTAAAGAAAAAGCAAGGGTGTATTATCTAGTGTTTTGAAGAACAAATGTGTATACCAATGACAGTTATCTCACAAGTCTATGGAATTCCTTTGGCCCACCAAAGGAAGGAGATTCAATCTTTACCTCTTGCATCCTTCAGACACTATCTCCCATCTCATCACTCCAAATACACATGGGTTGGGGGCGGGGGCAGGGCACATCAGTTAATGGTGTTACCTGTCTTCAAGACCTGTTGTGCCCTCAGATGCATAGTTTCCAAAGAAGACTTCTGCTCTGGTCCTGCAGACTAGATTTTACAACTCATATTCATTTCTAGTCCTGCAAAGCCCTCTTTCCCTCAACCAATGAGACACAGAGCACACCTGTACCCATGGTCCCTGGTACCTGCCTCCTCAGTCTCTGCTCTCAATCACATTTTCATCAACTCCTCAGACTTTGTCTTTCCAGGGCTCTTTGGGGAGTGGCTTCTGTGTCCCCTAAATGAGGATTTACTCTGACCATTTGCTTTGTTACAATTCCTCAGTCAGTGGGCAAGACATCACTTGTAATCAACCATCATTCACTGTGCATTCTAATGGAGCCCTTCCCCCAGATTAACTGTTTATTCTGTGAATCACAGAACCGGTAAAAAAATTCCAGTGCTGAGGTTTGCACTGAATCCCAAGATGCAACAGAAATAAGGTAGTCCCAGGAGCTAAAGAATCAGCCTGTAGCTCAGTGGTTCTCAATCTATGGCTGCAATCCTTTTGTGGGTAAAAAGCCCTTTCCCAGGGGTCACCTAAGATCAGCATATCAGATACTTACATTACAGCTCATAACATAGCAAAGTTACAGTTAGGAAGTAGCAATGAAAATCATTTTATGGTTTCGGGGGTCACGACAACTTAAGAAACTGTATGAAAGGGTCACAGCCTCAGGAGGGTTGAGAACCACTGCCCTAGCTGGTTGTGGATTCATGGGCTAAGCCCTTTTGTCCCTGTGTCCCCAAATAGTGAGGAATGTAGGTGAGATATGACATAGTTGTTCAATGGGTAAATTCTACAGTGATTGTTGATTTTTAAAAATATTTTTATTAATTCCTTGAGAATTTCACAGAATGTATTTTTAACATACTCCCTTCTCCCCATCTAGGTCCTTCTAGATCCATTCACTTCCTGACCCACCCAACTTTGCGTGCTCCTGCACCCTCGTGTGCTATCTCTCTCTCTCCCTCCCTCTCATGAAGTCTAACATGTATTGCTAAAATTCTCTTGTGTGGGGGGGCCTAGAGAGCGGCTAACCTACCAGGGGTCTAACCTACCAGGGGGTCACATCCTTAAGGAAAACTGACTCACTGTCTCCCAGAATCAATCAAATGCTCTGGATCAAATACTCATAGATCTTCAGGTAGGGGCAGGATCTTGTGTGTCTTCTCTTTTCCAAGTTACGATTTTGTCTGGCTTAAGTTTGCACTGCTCTCATGCAAGCTGGGAGAGTTCAAGTGTGCCTGCTGTTTACGGAAAACACTGTGTGCTTGTAGTCATCTGTGACCTCTGGCTTTACAGTCTTTCTATACCTTCTTCCTCGATATCTCTGAACCTTTTGAGAAAGGATATGGCAAACATGCCATTTAGAGCTTAGCACTTCTCGGTCTTATTCTCTGGATGTTGACCAGTTGTGAATCTCTGTGGTAATTACTGACTACTGTAATACATTCCTGTCATAAGCGTTCAAAGATACACTAATCTATAGGTATAGCAATAAGCTATTAAGAATCATTTTAATACTATGTCCTTTTATCAGAATAGCAGTAGGCTCTCTCTATGGCCTATGACCTTTGTAACCACAGGAGCTTGACATTTTTCTATTTTGCCATTTTTAGATATGGCAATGGTATATGATGTTTCCTGTACGTGTGGGTGTGTATGTGTCTGTCTGTCTGTCTGTCTGTCTGTCTGTCTGTCTGTCTGTGTAACTGTGGGCTTTCCTACCCATGCATAAGTTCCCCTGAAATAATGACTCTGAGACTTAAGTGTAGTTGTGAATAAATGCTTAGACCATAAGCTTGGACCTGTTCTCCAACTAGCATGTAACTTAATTATCTGTTATTCTATTCTAAGTCCTGCCACGTTCATGGCTGGTTACCTCGTCCTCAGTTTCATGTAACCTTCTTCCTCTGTGTCCTGGTGCATCTCCTACTCAGGACTCTTAATTCAGAATTCCTCTCTCTCTCCTGGATGTCCCACCTTCTAATCCTACCTCAGCTCACTGGCCAATCAGCTTTTGATTGGCATGTGACTGCTTTTACACAGTACACAAGGGATTATCTCTACCTGTGCAGTAACTGAGGATTTAATCCAGTACTGAGCTATATACCTGGCTCTCCTGGGTAGGGTTTTATTTTTCTCACTGTTTCTCCTTTAGATTAAGAGTCTCAGAAGACTGACTCAGAATAAGGTAGGTGTTAAATCTACAGCAAATCAAGTGTGGTAAGTAGTTTATGCCTGTAATCTCAGCACACACGAGGTATTCCAGGAGTTCAAGGCCAACCTTACTTAGTTCTCGCCAGTCAAGATATAGAGTAAGACAAACAAACAGCAAAAACAGGGGGCAGGGGAGTGGGGGCAGAAAATGTTACAGAAAGTGAGGCAACAATGAAAGATTCCATACATTTGCTCAGAGAACTAACAGAGTAGATTTCATCTGTGCCCAAGAAGTGGCACCAAGAGACATAAGGTGTAGGACAGACCTGTTTTTTTTTTTAAATTGATGGCTGAACAAGGTATGAAGAGATGATGACGATGATGATGATGATGATGATAGTGGCTAGAGAGAAGGCTCATTAATTAGGAACACAGACCACTCTTCCAGAGGACCAGGGTTCAGTTCCGAGAACCCACATGACATCTCATGACTACTCCAGCCCCCTTTGATCTGATGTCCTCTCCTGGCCTATATGGACACCACGCACTCTCATGGTATAGAGACACAATACAGGTAAAACACCCCAAAACATTAAAAAAAAAAAAAACTCAATAAAACAAAAGGCCCCAGAAAACTAGAGAAGACATATGCTATGTTAAAAACAGAACAAAACCAAACCTAAGAAATTTGTAAGGACAGAGCTGAAATACACACAGACGAGCGCGCGCACACACACGAGGAAGAGAGAGAGAGAGAGACAGAGACAGAACTGGGTAGGGAATTCATATCATGTGGAGTACATCATGAGTACCAAGCCACCCAGCGCTGCATAGTTAGATAACCCCCACTCCCCCCTCATAAAGGGGTGGGAAGCATTTAACTCATTAAAATAAAAAACTAAAATGAATGGAAAAGATTTTTTTTTAAAGAAGCAGCAATAGGGTAATGAGAAAGACAACTCTGAGCTACAAGCACGTGACTCCACATCACTCTGTCAATCACCACACAAGCTTTCATGAGGGCAGTGCTATCACTGTAAGTATGTCCCAGGTTAGGAAACTAAGGCACAGAGAAGACAAGCAATGTCCAAACCACACACAGCCAAGAATTCAGAAGCAGGGAAGTCTCACTGTTGGCACCTATGCGATCCCACCCCTGAGAACTGAGGTATCAGGTTAAACAAGGTGAACGGGCAGTGTGAGGGGTGGGCTTGAGATCTCCATGGCGGGTTCTTCTGCTGAGTCTCCTCACACCTTGTGACCACTGTGCACCATCTCCTGTGACTCACTCTCTTCTGCCCTCTGAGCATCGCACAGGAAGTCCCATGTACAACTGTGTAGAAAGAAGTCATACCATATACCTCGGCCTCCCTGGAACCAAGGCTTACTAGCTGTGTCAAACCAGGTGCATTCCTCAACTGCTCTGTGGTCCAGTTTCTCACTTTCAGAAAAGGATACTAGAAATGTCTAGCTCACGTGGTTACTTCCAAGATGGATTAGAGTACCAGGATAGTGCCTGGAACGTACTGAGCACTCAAGAAACATTAGTTCTAGGCACAGAAAGACAAATCCCATGGGGTCTCACTTATATTACATATCAATTAAAAATAAAAGTACACTTTAAAACAAATGTTAGCTATGTAGTAATATCCTTTCATTGATACTCCAACTTTTAAAGCCATTCCTGTTTCAGCACACCAAGAAGCCAACCAACGTGGAGTAGATCTGTCATCTGGACATGCAATGAAGCATATTTAAGCCCATTACCACACAAATATTTACTGAGCATTATCTTTGTGTAAGGCAGTAGGAAGCAGTTTCACAAAGGTTGTAGACCCAGGATTGTCTACAGTACAACAGGGCAGGGAGAAGCAGATGGGGAAGAGCCCCAAGAGGACAGGCATCTGTTGGACACTGGATCTAAGGACGGATGTCCAGGGGAGGCAGGGTCCCAGCTGGGATCTTGGGGAAAGCAGGAACAAGCACAGTAAGAGAGTGATCCAGGCAGATGAGTGAACATGTGCAAAGCCTTCTGGAGTTAGCGAGCAAGGCATGTTTGTAAATAAAGTGAAATGAGATGCAGCTGTGGAGGGAGGACTGGGAGAGCCCGGTGAGGAATCTGAGCCCTGTTTCCAGCACCCATGTTGGGCTGGGCAGCTCACAACTGCCTGTGACTCTAATACCAGGGCATCTGATGACCTCCTTTGAACTCCCAGGCCAAGTTCACTCATGTGCACAAACTCACACAGAGACACACATGATAAGCAAATAATGACACACCTTAAAACCTGAAACACACATGGACTGTGCAAAGAGTGTCTGTTTAGAAATATGACCTGCACTCACATCAGCCTGTAAGGGGAGTCTGTGGTTCTTGCCCCAAGGTCAGTGAAGGGTTAAGTGAACCAGCCTTACAGGCAGACTTCCTGTTTCCCAGCTGTGGTAGTGGAACATAATCAGGAAGACAGAGACACGAATCTGTAGGTGACTGAAGTGAAGCTATCAGGTGACAAGAGTACCCACTCTCGAGAAAGGACAAAGAAGGGGAGCAAGTGGATGGATGTGAGACTCAGCCCTGAGAGTCCACAGCCTGGAGCTGGGCAAGGCTGGGAAGTTACAGCCAGGGCTCCCTACTGGTCTTGGGTTGGATCTCTAGGAGATGCAGGAATGAGAAGTCTTGATGCTTTTCCCTTAGTTAGAGCCCTGGGGCAGTAGTGTGAGTGTGTGTGTGTGTGCATGCACGTGAGTCTCACACACACACTCATCAGGAAAACACTCGTTTACAAATCCAGAGCTGATAACAGAGATGATTCATCACTGGATAGTAATTTAGGGTCTAATTTTTCTTCTAAGCTAACCTAGTGTGAAAAGTGAGTTCACCTTGAGTCCCCCAATTGTTCAGGAGACCCTCTTTTCATAAGAGATAAACCCATTTCATTTCCTGTAAAACTGCTTGAGGTTCGCTGCCGGTTCAAATGTTTCCTCTGGTCCAGCCAGGCTCATGTAGGGCAAACCCACACTAACTAGTTCACCCACTGCTGACCTGCACACAGCTCCAAGTGCACTGCCCTGAGAGAATGAGTGGGTGGCTCAAAGAAAAGGCCTGTGGGAAATTCTCCAGTAGCTGTCCACACTCCACTGGCCCATCACCCCTGGATACATTGGCCAGAATCTCACAATTCCTTTATCTACACAAAGAACTGAGTTCCATTCTGAAGAAGGATAAAATTAATCCTTTCCCAACAAGTGCTCACTGAGAAAAGTTACACAAGTCAATTATCTTTCTAGCTTCTTCTGGAAGGCAAAGGACACTTGCCCCTTGTCACCCCACTACAACAAAGCATTAAGGGGAGAGGCTGTAAGAACTTGAAAGCAGGGTGGAGTGGCTGGAAGAAGGAGGCATGCTCATTGCATGTTCCTGCAACAGACAGAGGCTAAGTGCTGATACAAGGCTGGAAAATGTCCTGGATGCAGTGCAACAAAATTATTCACTGCCCTGCATACAAAACTGCAAATCCCTGCCCTGCCCCATCCGAGGTCCTTAAGAATCTTCTCCACCCACTAAGAGGGCTGTAAATAAACACAAAGCATTTTCATATAAAAATAAAACAATTGCCTACTATGAACTAAGTGGGCATGAAAGCCATTTTTTTCAAGCAAGTCTGGTTGTCTTTCACCTACCACCACACCCCACCTCCGGGAAGATAAAAGGTAAAATAGGTACGAGATTAAGGGCCCTGGAGAAGGCAGAGATTCAGGAAATTGGCAGGATGAAACGGGGCGGGGGGCGGTGGAAATGCCATCCCTTCTTCCTCAGATCCTCTGAATTGTTTTCTGCTGTGACGATTGAGAGATCGAAGGAGAGGGCAGATGCTGAGCAAAGACCGGTTTATTCTCATGCCTTTGCATGAGAAGTTTCTTTTATGGGATGGATGCACAGCTCACCTGCACCCTTGAGCCTTTGCTGCAGCTGGAGAAGGCGGAAAAAGCAGCGATGCGCAAGCGCAGTCCCTCAAGCCGGAAGCAGTACTGCGCAGGCGCACCTCCTAGCTTCGCCCCTCCCTAACGTGCACAGAGCTGAGTCCTCTGTGCACCTGTTTCGTGAGTTGTGGAGTCCTTGATCCTATGTCCTTCTGCTGTCCTCGACCTGGGAGCAGGGTGCAGCTCTGGGCCAACAGAGGCCAAGACCCTGTGAACTTACTTCTCCACTCGGGACGGCCCTGGGATCGCCGAGCTGCAGTTTGTTGCCCCCTGCCGGCCCGGATGATGCTTGCAGCAAGACTCCTTGGTTTTGCTAGGATTCCCCCCCAACCCCCCCCCCCCCCCGCACCCACCCCACATAAACTGAGAATTTTAGGAAAGAGGTGGGGACATTCCAAAATGTGAAGTCAGGTCTCCAGAGTTAGTGCAAGTGAATCTGGTTCCAAAGCATGAGTGCCGACACACCTCACTACCTAGGCAGATGTTGGCATAGCCTCATGATCCTGCTTTTACCCTATGAGATAAGGATATCCAGGTTTAGATGCCCAGGAAGTGTGGTACAGAACGCCACAGTTGGAAAACTGTGTTTTGAGTCTTGCGAGGCCAGGAGAATCAGTTCCCAGAAAAGAACCTTAAATTGACATGAAATTGTGTCTCATCCGACTCCAGCTGGGCTTTCCAGGCTGGAAATAGTAATTAGGATGACCCCTCTGCCCTGTGTTATGCAACAGCAATCAAGGTATTCAGGAAAGCTCCAGAATTCTCTGAGGTGAGGAATATTAGAATTCCCTCAAGGACAACTGGATCTAATATATACATTAAGTGTGTGGCATTTGTTGGACGATCCTATTCTGTGTGTGTTCTCTCTCTCTCTCTCTCTCTCTCTCACACACACACACACACACACACACACACACACACGTATTTGGAGAAGTAATGTGACTGCTTTTGAGAACTGGGAAATCTATACTGCTCCTAGGGAATTTATCAAACCCTGGAAAAGTCATGGGAGCACTGGCATCAAGACACAGCTGTGGAGTCAATCTCATCCTGAAAGTGCTCCTGGCTCCTGGTTCTCCTCACATCAGGATTGTGGGTACTCAGCCCAGCCCCGGCCCCCCTCAGACTCAGAACTCTTTCCCTACTCAAAATAATATGAGAAGAACCCTCTTGGATCGCTTTATTATTTGTATGACACACTTGGGTAAATGGTGGCTCCTTTTATCTCACAGTGGATTTAGAGTTTGGTCTTTGTTGTTGTTGAGTTGGTTGAGAGTTGGAGCACAGTCTCTTGTGCACTCTATAGCACTCACACACCCCTCCACCACACACCATGACCCCCAGCATCGGGGTTAAGATATGCCCCATAGTAGATGCTCTGAGATTCTCCTACTAACACTCAGAAGATGGAAGCAACCACACCATGCCCATGTTCAGTGATTCTAACTGAACCACAGAGAGCATGTCTACGAATGCCATTGGGATTTCATGATGTCAGATATGCTTTTACATAGAGGCAGCTTGCCACCTGGGTTCAAGCCTTCAGCTGCCACCTGTTCTAGTAGAAGCAAAGGGTGTGGCCAGGATGAGGGTGCAGAGAAACCTCCTTACCTTTGCCAACCTGTAAGACTGTATACTTAGGATCCACAGCAACAGAGACACCGTTCCCTGTGGCCTCAGCACCTTTGTCATCCTGGAGAAATGCAAAAATAAAATCCATAAGATTTCAAATGATGCTCATTTAATAAACATCCTGAAGGGGCGGGCAGTGGTGGCGCTCGCCTTTAATCCCAGCACTTGGGAGGCAGAGGCAGGTGGATTTCTGAGTTTGAGGCCAGCTTGGTCTACAGAGTGAGTTCCAGGACAGCCAGGGCTACACAGAGAAACCCTTTCTCAGAAAATTAAAAATGAATAAATACCTAAATACATAAATAAATATCCTGAAGAGTAAATGACCGTGAGTTAGTCCAGTCAGCATCATTTCAGAGTTGTGTTACACAAAAGTACTATCTGTAATGGGACTGTGTGTGGTCTCCGTTGACAGGAGACAGTTACAGTCTAGGTTCTAGGAGTGCTTCTCAACAACAACTGAGAAACTCAGTTTGTCTCAGGTCTTCCAGGTTTACCCAGATTTGGGGAGATTCATTTACAAAAAAATAAAATCACAAGTGACTTAATTGATATTAAAGAACAACAAAAGCAAACAGCGTCTTGACTCTTCCCTTTCTGATCCACATGGCTACTTTACTTCTGCTCGTCAGGAAAAGATGTGTTGAAGGAGCGTGGTTGTATGCAGAATATTAACGTTTGCTTAACTTTAGAGACAGAGTCTCACTCTGTAATCCAGACTGCCCTGGAATTCGCTATGTGGCCCAGGCTGGCCTCAAAGCCATAGTAATCCTTTCTGCCTCTGCTTTCCACTGGCTGAATTATAGATGTGAACCGAAATAGCTTGTTTTAAAAGCAACAAAAGCAACACATACCACTGAGATAATACTGTAAATATTATTAATGTACATGTATACAACCACCAGGTTATAAAGATATAATACCAATATTATAGGACTAATTAACAACCTTTTAAATATTCAAGATATATATATATATATATATATATATATATATATATATATATATATA